TGATTAGCGGGATATGTCTCGTCGCCGGTGTTACAGTTGAGGCAGGGGAGATGCCTGAGAAATTAAGCCCATTGATAAAGCTCACAACATTTGAAGCTCAGGAACGAGCTAGGGTGAGGAAGAGAGAACAAGACCGACTTGAGCAGCAAAGACATAATGCGCAGGAAGAAGGACAAGCAGCTGAAGATATACACCTACCACAAGCTCCGCCACAACCAGCTGAAATGGATTTGTAGCTACTTCGATAGATATTTGCCATCGCCACTAGAACTAGCAGGGATATACAAAATCTGTAGCAGAGATTCGAGACGATGACCGCCACTGTTGAAAAAGTGCAGAGAGACCTCTACTCCTCCCGAGACTACAAAAAAGGTGCTATGAATGAAGCCACAACTGCAAGAAGGGAAGTAGAGACTATGAATGGTAGGTTCAACATGTACGCTGGGAGAATGGATGGCATACAGTAGCGTGTGAACGAAACTTGGGATCGTTTGGGAAGTGTGGAAAGTAGTCTTCAAGCCATTCAAGCCGAGCAAGCACAGCAGTCCGAGTTGCTGAGACAACTCCTATCTCGCCTCCCATCTCCTCCTGAAGATGATGCTGCGGGTCTCAGCTTCACACCACAGCCACCGAATTGATCAAGGGAGTTTTGTTAATCTCTTATTGCCAAGTTGTGTCCATGTTTTAAATTCTGTCATTTTAACTTTACTTTTTACATTGAGGACAATGTATTGTATAAGTTTGGGGGATGGCAGCATAATTTCAAACAAATATTCGGCATGTAATTATTTTGCATATTCACAATCCACCGTTAATTTTGACAATTTTTTGCATGATGCATGCTTGTGGGTTTGGCAGCCTTGCCTTGCCGGCTATGATATGATTATTGGACATGTATAAACTAGAAACTGTGGATTTAGTGCATGATTTAATTTGCTAATACTTGTTGATGTATTGCTTGACATTCTTTTGCACGCCACTCATGTTTCACGTGTTAAGTTATTGATTGGAATTTAGAATAAATTAGGAGAAACCTAGAATAACCCTCTATATCATTAACCCGTAATACCACTTTAAGATAGTTTTGAGATAGTTGAGCCATTGTAGGGAAACATGGAGATAAGTGGGGGCCCCGTGCATGAAATTATACTGTGTGGATTGTTTAGACCCGAAAGGTGAGAAATAGGTGAAAGCTTTAAGTTGAGAATGGTTTTGGAAATCAAATGTCTAGAAAAACAAAGAAGGGGCATAAAGTAAAAATTGGAAAATCATCACTTTTCTCAAAAGCCTTTATGACTCGAGCAAGTAAGTCTGTAAGGGTTTAAAACCTGATGTCCTAATGCCAACTGGTTTGGGAGTCATCGGCCTAAAACTCGTTACAAGAGTCATATAGAAAGCAAGAAAATGGAGAAATTGATAAAAAGTCATCTTATCGAACCTTTATAACTCGAGTGAATAAGACTGCAAGGGTTTAAAACCTGGTGCCCTAAAGCCAACTGGTTTGGGAGTCATCGGCCTAAAGCTCGTTACAAGGGTCATATAGAAAGCAAGAAAAGGGAGAAATTGATAAAAAGTCATCTTATCGAACCTTTATAACTCGAGTGAATAAGACTGCAAGGGTTTAAAACCTGGTGCCCTAAAGTCAACTGGTTTGGGAGTCATCGCCTAAAACTTGTTACATAGGTTATATAGAAAGCAAATGAGAAGATGAAACCAAAAAAAAAAATCATGAAAAAAAAAGCCATTGTTGGACATTTGGTTGATAGAACTATAACCTTGATGTGAGGCAAGTAGCTTAGTTTAATCCTAAAGGTTGAAGCAATCAAAATAAGGAGAGTCTCTACTTGTTGATATGTGAACTTGTAATGGTAAAATCTATCCAAACTAAGAGAGGGTAAGGATTAAAATTATTTAAACTCCTAACCTTAGAATACACCTCGGAGTAATTGTGTAAAAAGAATACATTTGGGGGTTGTGCATCTCTCGAGTGACGTAATGATAAATTTGACCACTATGGGTCGGGAATAAACTAATCATAAGTTTGATATGTTGGCATGAGTTCACACACACACGTTGAGTATTGCACTTGATGAGTAAAGGTTGATTCAATTCTCACACTTTTGATATTGTTTCTATTATTATTACTAAGTTCCAATCTTGAGACACGGCAAGCTATTAAGTCATGTTTGTTTAGCATTAAGTCACTACATTGTCTGAAGACAAACAATAGTTTAAGTTTGGGGGATTTGATAAGTGTGTTTTTACACATTTATTTAGCTCACAAACATGACTTAAACATGGACAAAGTAGTTGAATTATGACTTAATCTCATTAAATTCATGCAATGTAGGTGTGTCTATGGAAAATATGGAATTCAGAAGAAAAGAGCCGAAAAAGGACCAAAACGGAACAAAGCGACAGATCGGGGACCAAAGGTGCAAATATTGGAAAGTTGAGCTAAAATTCAGAACGAGAATGAAAATATGCCACGTATGAGATTTAGGACGATACAAGACGATCGGAGGAAGAAAGAAGTAATATTGGACTGAATTGAAGAAAATTGAAAGATGAAGGACTAAATTGCAAATAATCAAAAGATGAGCCGAGCAAGTGATCAAGAAATTGATTGACCCAAACGTCAATTAGGAGTCAATATTTGTTGATGGAATAAAGGAAAGAAAGAAAAGAGATCAAGAAAAGAGAAAACGAAGTTCACAGACCAAAACAGCAAGGTTGAAAGTTACAACCATGCGGCCGCACAGAACTATGCCATGCGGCCGTACATAAGGTTGCAGAGATTTTAATGAGGCAATTCACTTGAACCATGCGGCCGCATGGCCTTAAAAGCCAAAAAAAACTCTGAACTTGCGTTTTTAATTGAAACTCTTTCGGGGCTCTGTGAGGACATGATATAAAAGCCAAAATTCATCAAAAATAGGGTAGAACGTCCGGGGAGAAGAAAATTATAACTTTTGGAAGCAAGAAACACGATCTTGAAGCCGATTCCACAAGAATTCAAGCGGGTTTTCAAGGCTTTACTCAAGATTTCAAGAAATTTTCATACGGGTGCTATTCTTTCAATTTATTAATTTCATTTTTTATTCTATAATTATGAATATTCTAGGCTAGGTTTTCAATTCACTAGGTGATCGATAAACCGTTGTTTGTTATTTTAATTTCATATTTCATGAATTTAATATAAAGACTCGTTTGGATAATTTGATTGGTTTATATGCATTGATTTTCTTCCGCAATTAGTGGCTAATGATTGTGTGAGTATTGCTAACTTATTTCTTACATTCGAGAGAAGTGGAATATGTTCGATAAGGTGTAAATCAACATAGGGTCCGATAGGGGATAGAGATATACCCCTATGCTTTATGCAATTCTCTAATTGTTCACAAAACCATATGCATTCTTGTATATTTGCATCATCCATAGAGATATAGGCTGGTGGTGTCCAAGAATAGGTCTAATATATATCGAGAGAATATGTTGGATAGATTTAGGAACATTGAATTGGCAAATTTCCATCGGGTCATTGATTTTATGAAATTAGGGTTTTTATAACTTCAATTGGGGATTCGTGATCCTAGTGACTTTATTTTGATTTATTTTCATAAATTAGCTTTTGAATTTGCATAATTTCATTTACTTGAGTGCTTGAATCATTTAATTAGAAAATTTCGAGATTAGAGTTTCTAATTGAGAAATTATGGTTTTTAATTGAAATTAGGGTTTTTTGCATTTGGACCATATTTTCACTCAATTAGATTCGGTTAAGGCTAGATTATATAGAATTGAACTACTCAATCTCTGTGAAACGATATTCGAACTTTTAAAATCCACTTTATTACTTGTTACGATCCGTACAGTTGTGGTAGTTTTAAATCGAAAGAATTATTTCGTGAACACATTACAATAAGGAGTATTTCAATTTTAAAGAGTTTCTTTGAGATGCAACGAAATTTTTAGGTTTTAGAATTTTGAAATTTGGTTATTGAAAATCAATCATATCGGTAATGTTGTGCATTATTCCTTCAATAGTAATAGCAAACTAAAAAAATAAGAGGACAACATGATTGAATAGAAGGATTGGATAGACATTATTGCTTTTCTAGCTGCAATATACTCGTATTCAGTTGATGACGATGCCACCAACAGAAGAAATGTAATTCCAATATAAGTTGCAATTCAACGTAACACGCTTATATAATGGGTCTCAGGCCTATCAAAGAATAGGAACCCGTATGGATAATAGATTATTTTTCGGCTCCTGCGGTTCATCGGCGGAAACAATGTCGGGTGACTAGTGACGGCAGCGGTAGGATTGTGAGAACAATGGTGTTGTCTAGGAGACAAGTATGTTCTTCATTATCTTTTCTTTATCATTTTGTTTGGTTTTCTATATATTCTAATTAAAAAGCAAAGGTATAATGGTCTATTTAGAAAGATTGAATTTTTAAACAATACTCTATCTAGAAGGACTATTTGCGCATGTAAATGTTGATAAAAGGACGTCAATGCTAAGATTGAAAGAATATGTCTTGATTGCACACAAGGGCCTTCGATTAGAGGCCATTTAGGCACAAAAGCCAAATTAAAAACTCGGTTATCGAAAATCAATTATGTGAGTAATGTGAACCTTCAATAGAACTTTAAAGTACTAGTAAACTAATCACGAAAAAGGACGGCATGATTGGTTAGAAAGATTTGTTAGGATCCGAACAATATGAAAGGAGAAAAAAATCACTATTTTTGCTTACGAAATATGTCTTCTCTGTTCGATTTAATTAAAAATAATATTTTTAGTAGATTTTGGAATCAAATTGGGGCTAAATATAATTGTATTACTATTCCCATTATCTTCCTGAGTTTTTGAAACAACTCCTCGTAAGACTCGAAAATTCTTAATAAATCTCTTATAATTTAGTGACCATGTTATAAACTAATACACGACATTACGGGAAGTACTAAAATTGACAACCCTTTTTCAGACATCAAAGACGAGTGCAAACAGCATCTGCAGCAGTAGAAAACAAGAACACAAATTTATTCCCACTTGAAATGGATGAATCTACAACTTTCTTGGAAGCTAATGCTTTTTCACAGCCGTCAAGATTATCTGTACGAGCTAACAAAAGATCATATGTAGCCGTTTCATATTCCTTGTCATCCTCAATTTCTCTCAAGGCACTTTGGAATGATTTAAGAATGAATTCATATGACTCATCACATGCTTTAAGAGCTGTTCGAAGGGCAGATCCCACGTTTTTTCTCTTCAGAGTTTTTTGTATGTACGTGTGTGTATTTGTTATGTTGGAAATTCCAAACTTGATTATGTTAATTGCTAGGGTGGGAAGATTTGGTGAGAATGCAACTTTAGGGTTGGATTTAAGAACTTTAATGCACAAGTTGTAGTCCCAAGTCTTTGGATCTGCGACTCCATCAACGGTGCAAGCAATTTTAAGCAATCGGCCACCACGGCTTGAAGGGCTGTTGGTGGTGGCAGCGTTGGCCGGTGGGACGAGGAAAAGGTAGGACAAGAAAAGGGACATAAGAATTGAAGAGAAGAATGAAGAAGCCATTGTTCGATAAGGAAAGTTGTTATTGCACGAGTGTGGATAGGTGTATATATAGGACCCTTTATGGTGGGTTTGCCATAAATAAATTAGTTTATTTATGTAATTTTAGCCCCCGTTTGGCCCCCATTTTTGGTAATGAAAATGGGGGAATAGTGTTTTGTTGAAAAAATGAGTGGTTGAAAAAGAAGGAAAATTTTTCGATTTACGTGTAATATTATTTTATAGAAAATTATATGATTGAAAATAAGAGAAAGAAAAATAGAATGTAATGAAATGTAATTTAATGGGGATCAAATAGAGGCTTAATCTTGAAGACACGCATACAATCAAAATAAAAGAATTGTTTAGAAAAATTAAATTATTTTAGATTATATTGTTCAAATTGGAATTAAATGCTCCAAAGGAACGTAGAGCTCAAATAGTATAACGTGTATGTTGGATTTATTGATTGATTTTCAAGTAAATTAAATGAATTGCCACTTATCTTTACCACGATTATTACTTGCTCATTAAAAATTAAATAGTTATCCCATATTCAATTAAATTATTTATTAGTTTACCCATCCATCACCATAGCCATTGTAATCCATACATGGAGACATATTTCTACCTGGTAGACATATTTTTTTTTTTATTTTTTATTTTTATATTTCTACCTGATAGATGAAAAATGATGTGGCATACAAACTGGGTGAATCATACCACTTCATCAGAAATTTGTATTTTATAAATAATAAAAAAATGTTAAATTGAAAAAAAAAATAAAAAAAATAGGTTTCTTCCCCAAATCACTTTCTTCTACAAAATCACGCCATTCCTCCTCAGACTTGGAAGCTGAACAAGGTTCCGCCATGACCACGTCCCCACCTCTAAAACCTCGACGATGATTCAACCCAGAAAAATCCATTCAAAGTGTTGCAATATTCTATGTATTTTGTCAGACCCAAAATTCAATTGCAAATGAAAAAGATTTGATATGGGAATTAGAAGGAGAATTATTGGGGGCTGATGAATTCAGTAAAGCTCTTGAGAAATGGGTTGAATTGAGAATGATGGTTCTAGAGGAAGCAAATGTTGAGATTTTCAGGATTTGAGAGCCCCAATTAGTGTAAAATAATTTAAAATTTGTGTACCCAGTATTGTTCAAGGAATCCAGCTAAATGGCCACTAGTTCCCTTTTCCTCACTCTCACTAGTATTGCCCCCAACCCACAAATCATATATGTGTGTATACCTCTGGGCTTTTAACATTTTATCTTTGTTTATGTGTAGAAATGCACACAGGAGGATGAAAGTTCATTTTGATTATTGTTTCCAACAAATCAAGTTGCCCATCAAATTCAAGAACCCTCCCCCACAATCCATTAAGAAGAACTAGATCATGACATAGAAGACGGGCAGAACGATGATTTGAAGACCAGAATTTTCAGGCTCAACCAATATTTTACAGAAATGGATTGGGGAAGGCAACGAATTCACTATCACTGACTAAGCCCTAAGAAATTTCCACCGTTATCTAAACTGGGACTAAAAAAATGTTGGGCATCATGATTCCGGTGAATATTGAATGTACAGAGCTTAACAACAATGTTGGAGAAGTCGTTTTACAAACAACAATTTATGAAAGATTAATGGATTTCGTTTGCCACATCATCCTTTCATATGCCGTGTGGAACTTTTTTGCCAATCATATAGATGGAAGTGACAATAGTGATTGATGCTACCAAAAATCGTACCTGCTGATTTTTCGAGCATTATGATTCGGGTTGATTACGATAGCGGTCTTCCGGTACCTGAAACAAAGGCAACGAGATATGTTCTCGTCGCCCCTCCGATGCTTAAGTCAGAAAGGGAAATATATGTGTGGGGCTATGTGCTGAAGAACAATGAAAAACGTACCTGAATAATGGCCCAAGGTTCTGCTTTTATAGGGGTAGGTAGTGTACTCCTAGTAGGATTGCGTTGGTTGGATTTTTTATCCAAGAGAATTTCTATTTATAAAGAGTGTCCTACTTGTAATGGAATTGTTTGACAAGCGGTATAAGGGTTGATGTAGAATCCTTGGGTGTTTAGGTTTGTTTGTTAGATATCCAGGTCTTAGGAAGTATGTTGGTGGTATATGTCCCGAGGACTATTCTCGAGGACTTTAGATGATGTAAATATGTCCTCGAGGTATCTCGAGGACAAGGATACCTCGAGGCCTTAGGGAGACCCCGAGGACCATAGCAGAGAGATGAGATGAGGTATATATGGAGTCCTCGGGATGAATTCCTCGGGGTATATCAATATTGGCATCGTCAGTGATGAATGAATGAATCGATGAATACTTCAGTAAGCATTTGATAACCTTGTTATTTTCAGTGAGCAAATCATAACCAAGGATAAATTTCAGAGGCCACTCATTTAATTAACTCATTGATTTTCTATATTATTATTCAATAATATAATTAATATAACCTAGTACTTGTCTTATGACATAACTGGTTTTTTGCATACTCACGTCCAACTGACATACCACAATACTACGTCAAAGTTCATTAATGGAATAGACTTGGAGTGTTCTTTCTCATCCATGTGATCAGTTTGTAGACATACCATCTGATAATACATTATTCCACACCTAGTCTATGGACTTGTGAGTGTTTCTCAATACGCAACCTCAAAAAAAAAAAAAACAACGAATACCAATCTTACTAGGAAATTAGGGAATGTTCCATGCAGATTTTTTTTTAGAATTAATTTTGTGAACAGTGATTTTTTTGAACAATATATGATTAAAAATAGTAAAAAAAATAAAATAATAATAATAATAATAATAATTATTATTATTATTATTATTAAGCCCACGTGCAGAATTATTTTATTAGGAGAATGTTTAATTGCAATTGAGTATGAGGAAAATGGGTTTTAAAAATTTGTATTAAACACGGACTCAACATCAAGCTTGATGTTGGTATTGAGCTCCTCTATTGATCGTGTTCGAAGTCCTCTCATGCGAATATCTCCAACTTCCAATGATCAAATAAGAAAGAAAGAAATCAATGGGCGGGAAAAAAAAAACACCATTACAGTCATCGAATTTAATAAATTAAAGATCGATCACTGAAGTCGCGACTAATATAATGTTCTTTAACCCAAAAATCAACACCAGCCAAAAATGGATAACGGATAATTAAAGTTCATTTCTGTCTTCATTTATTTGCTTAATTAGATATTTGTCTTAACGATTATTTCCTATAATATTTTTTCAGATCAGTACAGTGGTTAACTAAACGCATTCTCTAACATCTGCAAATACAATTTGACATCATCCCAGAAAAGAATTATTTACCAACAAATTCTTCATTAATCCTCTTAATAAGATATAAATTTCTAGAAAATATATATATATATGCGGCATGGGCGGATTCAGCAGTGGGCTACACTTGGCTGCAGCCCACTGTCTTCTAAGCCCAGATACAACCAAAAAAATAAATAAATAAATAAATAAGAATTGGGTTTGAATTGTAATCATTCAACCTCATTAGCCCACTAACAAATAAATTTAGTATGCTAGCCCACTTCAAAAAAAAAAAAAAACTCTTTAATCTGTAGCCCACTAATCTATATAATTTTAGGCCCAAAATAATAGCCATTAGTAATTACCGTGTAATCCATTAATCTTCAATCCCCTAACATTTTCCATTCTCGTCATTTGCAAAACCAATTCATAGAGTTCCCAAAAATAAAAATTCAAAATCCCTAAATCTTCACTTTGCCCCTGCCCGTAGCCGCCAGCCGAACGGAACTGCCGATTGCCGACTCACTTCCGGCACGTGAGTGACGGACTCGTACCGATTCGCTGCCTCAAGCCTAGCTACCGACTTGGGTTAGGTTTTAGGATAAGTGATTTACTAATTAGATTATTAGAATTTGAAAATCTTTCAATATCTTTTCAATTAATTATACTTGGTTTGTTGTATTGTATATGATAAATGTTCTGTGATAAACTGATAATAAGATTGAAGAAGCGAAAATGCAGAAGAAATAATTAAATTTGTTCGAGATGTTGGTCATTGGAAACTTGGGATAATTAATTATACTTGGTATTTTGGGTAGTTATTATGTTTCTTGTTTAGTTGTTTGTCTTTTAATTATGTGGGAACAGCCGAACGGGGAATTGAAATTTTACTCATTCACTTGATAGAATGATGGTGCTTATAGTTGAAATGGAATGATTGCCCCTTAAAAAAATTTGAGTTCTTTGCATACCTTTGATACATGTCAACGTAATATCAGAGCATATAAGTCCCAATTCAAGTCTTGGCACTAAATGATATTCAAAATTGTTCGAGATCTTGGAATAATGGAATTTGTAATTTTAGCTTTCTAGTTTCTAGTTTTTTTTTTTTTTTTTTTTTTTTTTTTTTTTTTTTTTTTTTACAAGGTGTCCAATTCTTGACTAATCCTTGGGTCTGTGATCCGGCCCCTCTCCACACAGTCCGGTTAATCGCAGGATGTGCCTCCGACTGGCCAGGGTCCGAGCGCTCCCCACCTGGTCTGACAAAGTGCCAAGCAAGCCAATCCAAGTTGCACCTTGCCTTCCAAGAATAATCCTTGCCTTCCAAATTCCCACTTACCTTCCAAGAATAAATCATTGCCTTCCAAATGTTCCCTTACCTTCCAAGAATAAATCCTTGCCTTCCAAGAGCCCCATGTTTTGAACTCACGACCTCTACTCTGCCAGGTTTGACAGCGTCCGTCCTTTGCCAGTGGAGAAGTGCCCTGGGGGGCTTCTAGTTTTTGTTTGACAGTTTGAGGATTCAATTAGGAAGCATTTGTTGCTCCCTTTTTACTTGTATGTGATTATATAAGTTGTAATTGAATGTAACAAATTCACTGACCTATGTTATCTATGATTAACTGTGATCAAATTTGTCTTTGATATGATTAATTGTAACCAAATTTGTATTCAGTGTAATTGTTTGTGACTAGGTCAATTTTAATTGTGACCAAGTTACAATC